TCCTGCGGCGGGGAACAAGGAGGCGGCTGTGTCGGAGGAGGCAGTTTGGTTTCCACCTTGGGCAGCACTCCTGCGGCCAGCGGCCGGCCAGCAACGAGGAGCAGCGTCCAGCACACTGGCCACGCACCGAAAGGTAAGGGGCCACAGGGCAACCCTGGGGCCGGGTCCCCTCCAAGGGCCACTGGGGAGGGCTGCAGGGTGGGGAGAGGCTGCCTCTGTCCCCCTCCCTGCTTTCTGCAGACGGGCACCTGCAGCCACCGGGTCCCCGTGTGTGCCCAGCAGCACCGCAGCGGTGGCACAAGCACCACCATGCCAGGTGTGCAAAAACCACCACGCTGGGTTTTGCACCTCCACACCCCATCGCCGTCAGGCTCAGCTGCGCCATGTGGGAGCCCAACCGGCAGTGCTGAGGATCCTGGCATGTCCCTGCCCTGTTACCGCTATCCTCGGGCTCACCAGTCCCCTGGCACCCACTCTGGGCGCTTCTCTGGCACCTACAGCGGGGAGTTTCCAGCCGGCATCACTGCAGTGCCAGCTGTATCAGCTGATGGGGACGTGCCTGGTTGGGGTGCTCCCGCCAGAGGGATCCCCTTTGCCAGCTCCTGGGGCTGGGAGAGTCCAGGCCTGATCCCAGTATCACCTCGCACCCAGCTCCCAGCCCAGCAGGACATGCTGGCCCATGTCAGGGTGAGGAACCCTAAAGTGCTGGATTTGAGCCCAAAGCCAAGGCTGCATCTCCTCTGGACTCAGTGTGTTCTCTCCCGGGGTGGGCTGTCCCCTGCCATGAGCCCGGCACAGGGACATTGTGTGTGACCAGCACAGGGTTGCTATCCCCAGTGTGGCCCTGGTCCTGCCCTGGGGACCCACCAGCCCTGGGGACAGGGTGACACGATGGGGCAGACACTGCGCATCCCCAGGTGGCTCGTAGCCATGGGGGAGACACGGTGGCATGGGGAGGTGACACGTAGGTTACATGTGGATGTGATGAGAGTGGCCCCAAGAGCGGCGCAGGGCAACAGCGGGGGATGGGGTGGCCCCGGCGGGGGGGGACAGGGAGGGACT